ATGATTAAACCTTTATAAACTTCTCAAATTGCCCCAGTATGATTGAAATAAAGTAACATAAAAGTAACACAGAAATCATAAAATATAATACAATTGAAATCAAGGAAGATAAAATTCTAATTGCTTAAGAATAGCGAACAAGACGCGTTGAGTTATTGAAAGTATTAAGAAGGCCACAAATCAGCCGAGAGTCACGCGATACACGACGAAAACGGTTTCGCGATCGCAGAAGGGATTCGACAAGCAGTGGGAAACTCTGATTCTAACGAGGTCAGACCGCGGCCTGTACTCCTTCTTCCCAGAACACGCGCCACACCCTTCGCCACTTCGCGAATCGCGAGACACACGATTCATGCTCGCAAGGACGTCGCCGTCGACGTTTCCTCCTCGAGAGACAACTTTTTCCTCCGTCCTCGTGAATCACCGTTCGATGTTTTCGCACGTCTCGTCACGAAAGGTGTTAAAGTACCTGTTGCCGTGGCCTAGGTCTCTGCCCCATGAAAAACCAAGTCCAGACTTTATTTTTTTTATCCTCAAGAACACTCCAATTCAAGAACGCTCGATATTCATTTAATTGATCCAAGAGAAAGTTCAATCGTTTGCAATAGTTTTGATAACAAATTTACATTACATGAACTCTGCGAATTACATCTTTAAAGTAACAAATTCTTTATATTCCGCATGGCACGTCTATAGTTTTCTAAACTTCGCAATTTTCCTGCTTTTTAAATTTATTTCTTGTTATATCTATTGCATTGTAAATAAATTCTAAGCACTCGTGCGTTTCTTTCCGCGATAGCGATCTCGCTCGACCTTCCCCGATATTTCTCTTGACTCAGTTCCAAATCGGAAGCGGAACTCGTCGAGCACTCGATAATTCATAGTCATGCAAACGGATTACGTGCGCGACGTTCTTCCACGAATCATAACTCTCTACAGATAGAAAACACATAGCGAATAGTTCAATGTCGATCGAAGGAATAAGACTTAAGTCATCCGAGTCTAATGCAACTGTAACGCGTGTGAACGTAACAACTTGCCAGCTCCCACTTCATTATCGATGCACTTTTAAAAACCTCTACCGGAAAATTTGCTACCATAATTAACAGAAGTTACTCAGCAAACGTGTCTCACTAACTTAATACGAAAAACAAGTGTATATGTTTGTTATAATTTTCGCTTTAACGAGTGCAGAATCAGACTTGATTTGCATATTGAAGGCATGCTTAAACGAGGCATGGAAAAGTTTGAGAGAACGAGAATAGAGAAATAGAGGATAAAGTACAAGAAAATAAATCGTTGGAGCAAATGAGATGACAACATATAATAATAATAATAATAAGTTTATTGATACTTCAGGCTAACAATCTATTGCAATAAGAATTATTTTAGTAGTACATCATTATTCTTTTTATTATATTAATTTCAACTATTATTGGTTACTATTTTATTACTTTAGATATTTACATGTCCAGTTTATAATAGTGACA